CCCCAAAACCCCAAAACCCCAAAACCCCTATTTTAAATATAAAAATTGATTCAGTTTAAAATATTTTTAAATTAAAGGCACTAAGTTTTAGAACCCTTTCGTTCAGGAAGGAAACTCTCCATCTGTTCCTTAGTTATCGTAGAATCACCTGATTCCTTTGATTGAGAAGAGTGAAGATCAGAGATTGCACCCCGATTATCCTTTCGTGATCCTTTTAGGTAAATTAAATTATTATTAGCCTTGGGTTCTGAAATAATCCTAGTGCGTCATTTTGAATTTTTGATCATGTGTGATTTTTCTGATAAAATCTTTTCAAAATCTGCACACTCCTGCTCTTTGGAGATAACCTTAGTATCTATGCCACATCTAACAAGCAAATCTTTATTATGAAGAGCTCCTACATCATCATCTGATTCGTCACTAATACATAAATTTATCATTTCTGGAAAAATGGGAGATCCAGCAGATGTTACATTACTTTTAGCACTTGACAAACTCCTTTTGCCATTTTTCTTATCTCTCTTTCTTTGAAACGCACTAGGAATAGTATTAATGGCATAATCGAATGAATTATCTGGAGAAAATCCATCTTGGAAAGATGCATTATTGACTGTATCAAAAGCTTCATCTGAGAACTCAGCGTAATCAATTCTCCTATCCCTAGCTCTTATGCTATACTTCTTACAAGAAGGTTGGAGCTCACCACTAAAGTTGGTTTGTGTGCAGCATTCAGTGTCGGAATGGTCATTAAAGTTCTTTGGAAAATCTTGGAGTTTAAATTCTTCGTCATCCTCGAATTTCCTTAATTTTCTACTCTCTTTATTATGACGACTCCTCATCTTTTTCCTAGATCGAGCAGTAAAGGAAGGAGAGAATATCAAGGAGTGTGGTTGCTGTAATCCTGAGTTGAAATCTCAAGATTTTTGGGACTGCATACACAAGCTCTCTGGAATATTGCTCATAGAAGACAATCAAGTTGACACCCTCTCTTGTCTTTGCTCGTATGGTCTTCCTTGGGATAATACAGGGTTTGATGCCTGTGAAGCTTCTATTTTATTACAATTATGCTCAGGATCATTCCTTATCTGAGGAAGATTTCTTCACGTATGTCAATACCAGTCATTAACAGGAATATAACTAAGCCCGTCACAATGGGTATGGCATATCTTAGAATTTCAGTGATCACATATAAGGAGTAACTCTTCATTTGCAGCAGTATGACATAAGTAGCATACATCCTCCAGCATGTTCCAGATCATCAGCGCTTGCTCATAAGCATTTATCTTTGGCTCAATCTTCTCTATTACAGGTTTTACATTCTCATCTTCTGGAAGTGCTAAGATAGGTTTTTGCATTACATGAATATTCAAGATCTCTACTTTTCAAAGAGGACATCTGTTAGTCACATTTCACCAATTCTTCAGACAAATATATCAGAACATATGTTCGCATTTTTCAGGTTTAGCCATTTTGTCCCGGATTGAGTTCAGTCAAATACAGCATTCTTTATCAGTGAGGGTTTTAAGGATCCGACTATCTTTATTCTTAAGCCTTTCGTATAGAGATATAATTTTTCATTTCTTGTAGGAGTCTCTAAGATCTCGAAGTCTATTTATAACTCCCTTTGAACTGAAGTATCTTGGAATCCTCATTCATGCTTTCTTTTGATAGTGGAGTATGTCTCTTGTGATCTTGCTTTCATTCAATGATCAACTCAATGTCTTTAGGCTTATTTTTGCTATTAAGAGTAGTAGAATCGAGTTTAAAGGAGCTCTTTTCCTTCTGTTCCTCAAGAGTATTTAAACCTCTTCTTTTTGGAAATAATTTGAAAAGCTTTTGAGATTCTAGCCTACTTTTTGTTTTCGATTTTTCAAAACTTGGATTAAATCAAAAATCTCTTTTGATATGGCTTTGCTTATCAATAGATAACTTAAAGTCTAATCCTGGGATAACAATAATCTTACATTCCTCAAATGCTGATAGAGCAGTTTTGGTTAGGAACTTCAGTTCTTTTTCAATAGTAATATTATCGAGCTATAAATATTTACCAAACCCTTACTTTTAAAGGAAACTCAAAGTTTGATTCAAAAACTATGCTGAATTTCTCAGCTACAGGCTTGACACTCCACTTTAAAAGGATAGTAACAACAGATGCTAATGATGTATGATTATCTCCAAGCTGTCTATGCAGTTCAATGGTTTCCATGAAGCTACATTCATCATCCAGTTGAGAAAAAATTGTTCAACTAGAACTTCCATATTGAGATTTAAGAACCTATACACAGATTTACTTTATGGGCTTACCTTGGTCTTTTTCGTCCCTATTTTCGAAATAGTCTCTATAGCAATACTGTTAACACTCATTATTCGTTTTAGAGTTTTCAAACTGTTTAAGGAAAATTTGGTTCGAAATACAATTAAATTAGCCACACAATAGGTTTTTAAATATCCTAATGATTAATTTCAATCTCTGGGTTATTTGTTGGGGTTTTGGGGTTTTGGGGTTTTGGGGTTTTGGGG